CGCCGCAGACTCAGCCCCGGGCCCGATCCGGCTCCTGCCGCCTTCCCAGCTTCTTTTGGATCCAAAATCCGTTCTTCTCAAAGCATGTTTCTTATTTACAATACAGTGACTTATTGCGTGGGGATGAGCCGTGTTCTACATTTTAAATCAGATTGCTTTTGAAATGGTGCCAGTGAAATTGTTTTACTTTTAAAATAAATTTCTTTTCAAAAAGAGAAAACATTATTTTCACATGATGCACCCTGCTGATGCTTTCTGGGTATGTCTAGTAAAAAAAAAAAAATACCATTGCTACACGCTGTGGCTACCTCCAGACTGGAAGAGCATCTAGACTACAACCAGTACTTTCAAAAAAGCAAGCCGCTTTTTCGAAAGAGAGCACCCAGGCAGTCTGGATGCTCTCTTTTGAAAAAGCACAGTTTGCATTACATAGTGCCTTTTTTCGAAAGAACTTTTGAAAAAAGGTGTTAGTCCTCATAAAATGAGGTTTTCCACGATCAAAAAAGCTGCTGTGTTTTTTCAATGTACTTTCAAAAGAACACAGCAGCAGTATAGATGCAGGGAAAGTTTTTTTGCAAAAACCCTATAGTCTAGACACACCCCTAGGGAGTGTAATGGACAAGATCAAGAAAGAAGTAGAAGGGATATTGGTGCATGGGATGAGAATTAACAACTTGAAGTTCATGGATGATATAGTTCTCGAAAATGACAAGCTAGTGAGAACAGTTCAGGTGCTAAATGAGGAAGGGAAGTGGTATGGACTGATTATGAATATTGATAAAATGAAGACAATGATATTTGGAGATAAGGAAATAGGAAGGAAGATCAGTGTAGATAGGCTCAAACTAGAGAACATAGAGAAACTCACGTATTTGGGGAGCAACATGACATATGATCTAGACTGTAAGAAGGAAATAGAAACTAGAATAGCGAAAGCAAGAGTGAGTTTGAAGGCGATGGATAAAATCTGGAAAAGTAAAGTGATTAGCTTAGGAATGGAGCTGAGCATCTTGAAAACGTGTGTATTTAGCAGCATGTTGTACGGATGTGAGACGTGGGTGATAACAAAAGATTTGAAGAGAAGAATATTGGCATTCGAGAGGAATTGTTATAGCAAGATCCTCAGAATAGGATGGATGCAGAAGGTCACCAACGAGGAATTATATAGGAAGCCAAAAGAAAACCTACTGCAGAAGGTTACACAACGGAAGTTACAGCTATTTAGGCATATCTGCAGAATGAACAACGAGCGAAAAGTTAAAACCCTGGAATTCGGCATAATGCATGGTCCAAATAGGAGAGGGAGGCCCCACAGAGAATGGGTAGATTATATAGTAGATTGGTGCGGAGCTAGTCTTTAGAAACTAAGCCACTCCACACTGGACAGGAAAAGATGGAAGGAAATAGTGAGGGAGGCATTGGACACCAACAGGGCTTGATCTCGTGGCTGTTGATGATGATGAGCACTAAAGTACCATCTAACCTTAATTATGGCACCACAAAAAAAAAAAAAAAAAAAAAGGAAGACAGACAGTGGTCAAGAGGCTAAGAAAGGGAAAAGGTGATGACTTTAAGCCAGCAAGTCAAATGATTGGATAAACTGGCAAATGGTGGTAGTGTGGTTTCAGTAGCTAGAATATACAGCATGAACAAGTTACTGTGTATTGTTAAAAAAACAACATAAGGGAAAGTGTTGGAGAATCTAGCAAAAAAACAACAACAAACCAACAAAAATCTCCAGTGCCACATATTGACCTCCAGTATCCTGGATCCTTTACAGTTAGGCTTCAGACTAGGGTCAATATCCATCAATAGATCTTGTAAACAGAACTCATAAGTATGCATTCTGCTAGACCTGAGTCATTTGATACTGGCCTCAATTGGAATATTCAATTCTGTGTGTCCTCTTTTAGGAAAGATGTGAACACGTTATAGAAAGTCTAGAAGGGCAATAAAAATCAGGATAATCTAAGGATCATCAGCTAGGTTCTGATAGCATTCCTTCACTTTATTTTTGTCTGTGGCTGAAAAATATTCAAGAGAAATCTCAGTTACAAGTATAAAACTATATATATTCAGATACTATACAAGTACTGTGATCAAATCCTGGTTCCATTCAAATCAATAGCCAAGTTCCCATTGATTTAAGTGGGTCCAGGTTTTCATACACAGAAAGAGTATTTCTTGAATTTAAAAAGCACATTATTTAAGACAGATGGTGTCAATAGTAAAAATAATTTTACTACTATGGCCAGTAGATGGCTGTCTTGCACCACTTATTACATCCATAATCCCTGCCTATTACTGCAAAATAATTATCAGGTCACAAAAAGAAGTGTTTTCATCACACCAATAAAAGTCAGCTAAAGTCAACACTTATTCTAGTTTGTGATATAACCAGTATGTTACCAAGCAAATGTATGTATTGCTTGGTAAACCAAATGAGATCAGCTTATTTGATACACTGCATAGGGCAGTAATAGGAAACCTGCAGTCCCAGAGCCATATGCAGCTCATCAAGATTCTATGTGTGGCCTGTGAGACATTTGTTTACCATTGCACATGTGTAGGCAGCCACATTCTGCTGATTTCCATCTGTGTAATTTTTTTTCTACCATTATTACTAATGTGACATGCAAGTAAAGCAAGGGCAAACGAAGCAAGATGTGTGCTGATTGCATACAACACTGACTGTGAGAATGGTATGCTCCCTTTGCATCCAATCAAACCACTGCTACAGTTCAATCAGGACACCCTACAAATTCTAGTATGCTAGCGCAGTTAGCAATACTACCTATCCTGGAAGATCATCTTGGTTATGACAATTTTGTGGCCCACTGAGATGAAGGAGAGCCATTCATGCGACCCACTCTCTAGGGGCACACCTACAGCAGGGCAAAAGTCAAATTAAACTATGCAACTTGAGCTACATCAATTGCGTAACTGAAGTCAAAATAGGATACACAACTGGAGTCTACACAGCAGGAAGTCGAAGGAAGAACACTCTTCCTTTGACTTCCCTTACTCCTCATAAAATGAGGATTACAGGAATCAGAGTAAGAAGTCCTCCAGCTCACCATTATTTCTAAATAATGGCTTGCAGTGTAGATGCTCTCTGAGATATGTCTACACAGCGGTATTTTTGCCGAAGAGGATATGCAAATGGAATGCTCATTTGCATATCTTCCGATTCTTTTTGTGGAAGAGGTTTTGCTGCTAAAAAGCCCCGTGTAGATGGAGTCATTTGTCAGAAACCCCCCTTTTTCGCAAGCTCCCTTATCTCTCAAAAATCGAGGCTTACAGGATCTTGTGAAAAAGGGGTTTTTCCCAACAAATGGCTCCATTGACATGAGGCTTTTTAGCGGCAAAACCTCCTCTGCAAAAAGAATTGGAAGAAGAAATGCAAATGAGTGTTCAATTTGCATATCCTCTTCCGTAAAAAAAATTGCAGTGTAGACATAGCCTGAGTGCAAACACATGATAACGGACAGATGCTCTCCTGAAGAGCTTACAATCCAGACAGATGAAGCAGAAATTTAGTGAGGTGAAGTGATTTGCTGAAGACCACACATCGTATTTGCTGCAGAGCTAGGAATAAAATAGTGGTGTTTTGATTCCTAGTTCAGTGCCTGTATGTTAGTAGCCCTACATAAAGAGCCCATTTCAATTAATCATATGCTTCAGAAAGGATCTATGTATCTCTGAAAGATATGGGTTGAGTAGCAGTTGAGATATAACTACAAGAAGCACTTAACTGTCAACTTCATCAGGATGAACATGCCTCTTTATGCCCTAATGAAAGTATAAGTGAGCCACTTAAGGGCCGTTTTCATATTGAGTTTGGAAAATGTTGCAGTGTTGTAAGTTTAAATTTTGTGATTTGCTGGTTTTATGTGAATAACCTAGTACAGAATTGGAAAAAGTAAAACTGCACATACAGGACATTAGATGGCACTATGTGGCTACGTCTACACTGGCCCCTTTTTCGGAAGGGGAATGCTAATTTTGAAAGTGGGAATAGGGAAATCCGCGGGGGATTTAAATATCCCCCGCAGATTTAAATAAACATGTCCGCCGCTTTTTTTCTGGCTTGGGGAAAAGCCGGAAAGAAAGCGTCCAGACTGGCCCGATCCTCTGGAATAAAGCCCTATTCCGGAGGATCTCTTATTCCTACTTTGAATAGGAATAGGGCTTTATTCCGGAGGAGCGGGTCAGTCTAGACGCTTTTTTTCCAGCTTTTCCCCAAGCTGGAAAAAAAGCGGCGGACATGTTTATTGAAATCCGCGGGGGAAATTTAAATCCCCTGCGGATTTCCCTATTCCCACTTTCAAAATAAGCAGGCCCCTTCCAAAAAAGGGGCCAGTGTAGACGCAGCCACTGTGGGTATCAGTGATGTCCAGTACTGACTGTATGGTTACGATTATGTAGTAATGGCCTAATACATAGGGTTGCTGATAGACATAGACAGAAATATCTTTATTTCCCAGCCATAATCACATGAGGATCAACATTACAAAAGGTGATAAACTTGTCATATGGCAGGGCGAGTTACTACTGACTCCAGTGACAGTTTATAAAACACTTTGTATTCTGAGCCTGTTTT